GAGACAAAGTATGGGCAGTTTTGCAACCGCGCGGTTCTCTCCTTGCCTTACTTTCCTGCATAAAAAGCCCTTCAATTTTTAGCGTAAGGATTTTAGAAAAAAGTATCATCTTATAGTTGGAAAAATACGGTACTCATCCCTGAAGTAAAAGGCGTTTGATGGTGAAGCTAAAACTAAAGTTGCTGGACTTATTCTTATTTTTAAAAGATTCCATATTTTTTATCAAACCTTGTTTTATAATATGTCCTTTCAAAATATTTTCTTCTTCTGTTTCTTTATACCATAAGTATCTATGAAGTCCGTGGGCTAAGCTGGTTCCCTCAGTGATTGATGTTCTACAATTTGGGGATTTAATCCATTTTCTTATCCATGATAGACAGCACAATAATATAATTTAAGGTTAGGAAATTCAAAACCACCTCTTTCCTTTGAATCTTGCAAAGTTTTAAGTCCTAGATGACTGAGTTTCAGGTTTTTCCATCTTTCAAGATCTTTTTAAACATTTCTTTCCATGATTTATTATAATTGTTCTGGAATATGTTTTTTTTAACATCCCGTCAGATAAAGTCCCAAATATTTCACTGGATTTTTTGTTACCTCACAACCAGAATCTTTTCCACAAAGTCTTTTTCTTCTGGAGTTACTTATCTTCTTATTATCTTTGTTTTCTTTTCATTGATTTTAAATCCAGAGAATTCACCAAAGTCTTTGATTGTTCTTGTCAGATGTTGGCCCTTCGAGGTGGTTCAGACAAGAAGCACAAACCTTGAGCCCTAACACTACCTTTATTGTAAGGTTACAGTAACAGAATCTTGCAAGTCTGAAAATACCTCTCCCTTCCCTTTTTTTACTATCCCAAAAACTAGGGAGGGTCCCTTCTGAGATGCTTTCTCCACCCCATCCCTCCTTTGGACTTAGAATTAGTTTATCAGACCATTGTCTAGGCTGCGGTTCTTCCTCCTGTCCCCCAAGGTCATTCCCACATACCATTACCGCAGCTGTCTGATAGTGCATAATGGTTAGTACTACATTATTTCAACTTGTATTCCTCTCCCTGAATTTTACCCCCAGATATTTGTTTGTTTCTCCAAATCTTGTCCACCAAAACATCTAAAGCAATTACACATAAGGGAGAAAGAGAAATGCTAATAAGAAAGGTCACTCCAAGCTGTCAAAGGCTTTTTCTGCATCAAAAAATATTATTGCTGCCTTCTATTTTTTATGGTTGATATATTCTAGTGCATTTATTATAAATCTACTGTTGCCCTTCATTTTCCTCTTAGGAATGTAGCTAGTTTGGTCTGTATATATTATTTCAGAAATATATTATTTCAGAAATACACTTCCTGAAATGTTCAGCTAATATTGAAATAAATAGCTTATAGTTGATGTTTAGTAAAGGAACTGGTCTATGTATTTCACTGAGGTTTCTCTGGATCAAAAGAACAGTCTTTTCGTTGCATGGCAAATTGATTGCCCCATCTTGCCTTTGCAAACTAGAGTGGGATACAGTGCCAGCTTGCTGAGCTCCCTGCTTCTCCCACCATGGCTCCCAAGAATGTTCTAGGCTTTCTAGCAGGAACTGAAACTCCAAGTGGAGTTGTTTCTCTGCCATTCCTTTCAGAAGAGCACAACTTAGCTCCACCAGTGGCTAATGCTCCTACAAGATACTTTCTCAAGTTTCCCACTCAAGCCCAGAGAATGGCCCATCCACCAAGGTTGCTATAATCAATGGTGGAAGGGACAAGAACAGGATACACGGGGCAAGTGGGTGGCAAGGGATGGCAGAACTGAGCCTGATCAGATAACCAATTATGATCTGGTCAGACCAGTTGTTCTCCAATTTAGATAACACTCCTATACAATCCCCCACATTCCAAGCCAGCAGGAGTGATGGGACTTTGGTTATAGCTGGAGGATATCAGGTTGGTGAAGGCTGTGGTAGAGGCTTACCAGGGGCTGTCTAACCTTCCATGAGCTGGCAGAACACTATACAGTACTATCCATGGAATTTGCTAACCATGTGGACCATCTCTCTTCTGCCTCTGTTGCCTTTGTCCCCAGTCATTGCAGTTTCAACTTCTTTCCAAGATCATGGGTGACAAAGTCCAAGAGATGTTACCCATTTTCAGGTTTCCCTCAGGTAGTATCAAAATAAGAGGGAAAATGCTACTTTTGTATATAATGTTATAGCTAAGGATGACTTAGTCCTATGTCACTAGGCTAGAGATGAGATGAAGGAACATCATAGGGACATGGGTGAAAAAAGATATTGCAAGCCCATGTCTATGACATCGCTAAGGGCAAGTAGAAAAAGGCCAGAAGTATTGAAATGGAACCAAATGTTGCTGTCTTGTGAAGCAGCCCAATGACCAAGAGTGGTCATGAAGTAGCTGCTAACCTATCCATTGACTGCATCCATTATTTTAAATGGCTCAATTACATTTCTAATAATTGAACCACACTCTCCCCTCCCACGTACAGTAAAGACAAGACTCTTTCGTTTAGAACCTTGGGAGGTTTTATTTCAAATGTAATTTCCCCATTTTTTGAAAAAAAAAATCCTTTTTATTACAAAAAGGAAAAGCCAGTGGGGAAAAAAGAGAGAGAAGCAGGTCAATAAATACTTGGAAAATACTCAAAATAAAATAACATTAATAATAATATTAATAACAATAACAATAACCATAATATAATAACAATAATAATAATAATAATGACAAGAACAATAATTAATAAAATAACCGAGACTGGGAACAGATAAATAAAAAAATAATAACTTACAAGGAAGAAAACTAATGGCTTTATAAATATCCGGGATTATGAAGTATAGGGCTATTGGAAAAAGAGAATGATTAATAACAATTTCATACAGTGCTAGGGAACCAAATGTTGGTGGACAACAACTTCTGTCATCCCTGATCAGTGGCCATCCTGCCCAGGGGATGATGGGAGCTGGAATCCAGCAATATTTGTAGGGCACAGGTGCCTATTCTTGCATTAAAGAATATTAAATAAAAACCTATTAAAAATATTATTCTGGAAGGAAAGGTTGGACTGTGTTGCATGATCCTGTTTGAATTCAGTGTAGTGGGATATTACTGCGATTTTGAAAATTCTTCTGAATTGGAAGTAAGTCCTTCTGGAATGGCCTTGTGGTTTTCTGAAATTTAAATGCTGGCTAGTCCAACAGAAACGCAATTCGTCCAGCAGAGGATGCTGCTGCTAAAGGAAAGCAGGAATTCGCTTCTTATTTATCAAGGTTTTTATTTCGGAAACTGGAACATCATTTTGTATAACCTCAGCTTCGCTTTCCTCCTTCTCCGGCAAATTCCTTTCAAGCAACAAAAGAAGAACTCATGTGTTTCTCTGTATTTATGTGTACGGGGTCTTTTTAGAAGTTGTTAAAATAAAACGAGAAAACTCTTGAGATTAAATTCTACTTCTAAATGAATATCTCAGTAGGAGAAAAGTGACCCAAATGCCTAAAAACTCCCTTATAAGATTGTTTCCTGACCTTTTAAACTCTCTTGACTTGAACTGTTTGTCCTTTTAATCGAATCTCCATGAATGTGCATATAAATAACATTATAGTTCCTTTTTTAAAGAAAAAAACCTTTTCTTTTAGTAAATGCACATTTGAGTGAAAAAAAGCAATGCCTCTCCATTTGTGCTTTTTCTTAATGGATTATATTTATAAATTAGTTCCCCCCCCCAAAAAAACCCCAATCTTGCCAACAACCTTGCAGCTGCTCTATTAATTTTCTGCGAAGAACATCCTTTTGCTAGTATGATCAAAAAGCTAAGTAACAACAGGCTTCAATGCAGCACATCCTGTGTTGGGCATGTTGAAGATATTAATGGTCTGTTGGCTAGTGGCCACAGGCTTTGGCCTGCACTGGATGTCCTGTAATGGATAGAGAGAAACCAGGAGGGTCTATTTCTGAAATGAGGATGAGAAGTTGAGAAGGTCCAGCCTCCCCATAAAGGGCACACTTCCTTTCTCCAAGAAACACCTTTCCTTTCTTCCTTCATATGCTCCAGAATCTCTAAACCTTTGGGGGTATTCTGGAGCATGCCTTTCTGCAGGTTTTCAATTAGTACTGTACTGCAGTGACTTTCCATGGAAAAACTGTCCCCAACCTCATGCCGTCCAGATATGTTGAGATTGGAACTTCCAGAAATTCCAACCAACATGGACCTGCACAACTGAAGGGCACCAGGGCCCAGAAGACCAGCCTAGAGTTATTGGGCATAGCTCCTCCCCACACGACCATCCCCAGTACGAACTGGGAGACCAACATAGATTATGCCCCTGCAGACAAGATCAGATATGGCCAAAAAGTTTTCTTTGAAGCAGGGATTTCACTGCCATTACTGATAATTATACAGCAGGATTCCTAAATGGTACCTCCAAGATGGGTTCCCCTCTACTTAACACAGATCAATGCACATGGTCCAAATGAGTTAGATTCCATCAATGGAGAGCAGAAGAGTGTAAAAATATCCTTGAAAGAAGGGGTAGCATGCTTTCCCCAATTATTTTTCCAAGTCTGCAGGGAGAAGATGAGATGATCATTCTGAGAGTATCAAAGAAGTCGCCTCTTGTTCTGCAACATCTCCACAATTGTAGAAAAGTTGTGAGTGGGTAGGCAAAATCTTATCTCTTCCCACCCCACAGCACCCCCTAGAAGAGGAATCCAGTGGGGCTGTCTCATAGCCTTTCCTTCCTTCTTTAAGCCCTCCTCCATAGGGAATTTGCAGGTAAGAGTTCCTGGTCCATGAAGAACATCTCCAAAACATCCTGGACAGTTTTGTTTCTTGGTTCTTCACAACTTGTTCCGGATCAAGACCAACACTCGGGCTGCCCAGTCTAGATAAAGGTGGAATGAGTGGATAATGGCATGTCCAGCCTGGACAACAGACCAGTGGGTCCCATGGGTCGGGAGGGTTGGCACAGGGTCATTGGGCCGTGTCAGATTGAGCTTCGTCATCTGGAGAAAAAGGGACAAGGGTGAGTTGAATTGTCTGCAGGAAGAATAGGGATCTTAGTTTAGGCCATTGCCCCCAGTGATCATAGAGCTGTAGAGCCTGCTAATTTAGAGCTACCGTATCTGGGCTGCAAAGATGCAGAAAACCACTAGATGGCAGCAAAGAGATACAGAAAACCAGAATTCTTTGCCGCCATCTGATGGCTGCCTCAATTTTTGCAGCGCAGATATAATTGTTCTGAGCTCACTCATTCCATCCTTACCAGAAGTTCCACTCTTTTAAGGAGACGTTCAAGCCGGGTGTGCACTGTGCCAATGTCATGTTCCATGGGCCGCAGCAATGTTGCTGCCTTCTTCAGCCACTCAAAATGCCGTTGGTAGCACTGCAAATCAGAGGTGAGCCGGGCTAGACCTGCAGAAACCTGACAGACAGGAAGACAAGACAGAAATTATGAAGGAGAATGACTCAGCTGATGTCTCTGCCCCATCCTTGCCTCCCAACAGAGAAACTGGGATGCTAGGGACATGGGGCAGCAACTGAAGGAAATAAGGCCAGCTTGATTTAATCGCCAGAGAAAATGGGAACGTGCCTCAAAGAACAGGCTGCCAATATAGGAAGAACCTAAGCTGCCAAAATGGCAGAAACTCAAGCCACCGATAGGAAAAGAAAAGTCGTATGATGGTGAAGCAGCCTTCCCCAGCCTGATTCAACTCCCAGAATTCGCGGCAATAGCTATGCTGGTTGGGGAATTCTGGGAATTGAAGTTCATATCTCTGGATAGTGTCTAGCTGGGGAAGGCTGCTGTGAAGCAACTGAAACCACCACCAGCTGGACTTTCTACAAGTGCTTTCCAGAACCTGATGTCCTCCAAATTGTGTTGGAATACAATTCCCACCAGCCTGGAACATAACCGAAAGCATTGTCCAACACATCTGGAGGGGACCATGGTGAGGAAGGCAGTATTCTCACTGAAACCCTTATATTCCAGTCAGACAGAAGATTAGTGTTCTCCAGTCTGGTGCCCTCTAGTTACACTACCCCAAAGTCCCACCCGTGATCCAGCACACCCAGAGGGCATCAGGCTGGGAAAGACCAGCTTCTGGAAACAAGCTGTGATGCAATGAAGAACCTGCAGGGGCACCAGAGAAAAAATGGAGGCTCTTTTTACCTGGATGTTGGCAAGTTCTACAGCATTCATGGATAAAACTGGCAGTGTTTCTAACTTGTGTTCACCTTCTGCTGGGAAGTGTTTTTTCTGCACAGGGAACACAAAGAAAGAGAGCTGTGAAGGCAATGAAGGCAAGAAAAGCAGATCCTACTTTTAAAAGGAAGAGTAACATACAGTAGCATATTTTAAACAACAGCCCAAACCTCCTCCCAGTTTAAGATAGCTGATTTTTATTAGAGGCTAAGGGGTGTTTCCTTTTTATTCATCCCAACCCATCTGCCTCTGGGTCCATCAAGATAATTCTCTGGAAAATGAAGAAAATGGGACCAAATTTGGCGTGGTGGGAAAAACCAGCCAAAGAAAGACTGAGCTCAAAAAATGGGCTGAATCAGGCTGCCAACTGCAGAGAAAATCAATCCAGAAAACATTTTCCCAATGCATCTCTCTAGGAGAGGCAGCTGGGCAGTGGCTCAGAATGCTGCCAACGGCTCCATTCTAAGCCCGCCTTCTTCCTGGTCAGGTGACCCAGGAGTATATGCAGCCTGCCCTGAGTTTCCTTGTGCGCCCACAAACACACATAGACACAGGGTGCTTGTTTCCCAGAAGGAAATATTGAAAGAATTCCAGACACATCCTCTGCAGGCTTTCCCCACCTCAGTGTTTCTCAACTCTAACCCTATGTGCTAAGGTTGAGAAACACTACCCTATCTTAACAAACTACCTTTCAACTGCTCTGTGGATAAATGGTGGCATCTCCCAGTTGGGAGAGAAGGCAGAGTTGGGATAAAGGGAGCAATCTCCTGCCTTTATAGAAGGCTGCTTCCTATATTGTTGTTGTTGTTGGTTGCACAGTCAGCCAGATGTTTAGACTGGATTTGGCATTTTTATCCACCTATTGAGTCCTTCCCAAGGACCTG